AGGTGGTTTTATAAAAAATCTGTATTCACTCTATTAAAAAATCTGTATTTTCTGTATTGACGATTTTTTTTCTTAATTAATCATGTTTTGTTGTTTTACAAATACAGTGCATACAAAATAACCATAAAAAGTGCTTAACCACCTATTCGGGCTATCGTACTAACCATACGGGATATAATTGCGCCATTTGTGATATCGTCCGTACTTATTTATAAGAGTGATATGAAGCCGTTTGAAAATGTATGGAGATTTTAGTTTCTATTCATTATCTTCCTGATAAGCAGTTTTAAATGCAAAAAAGTGCACGAGTTCATTACTATTTGATATTTTTAATATAGATGAATACAATTAATTACATCAATTGTGTGGTAGTTACACCGAAAAGTCGAGAGATGTCGCCCCGCCAGTGCTGGTAAAATCATTTTTGCAGTATGGAGAATATCAGAAAATCCGCAATTTCTTACGAAATACATTTTCAATGCAAGTAAAATGTTTACGAGTACTTGTATTTGTACCATTTTATTGTGCTCGGGCACTTTTCTTGTATTTAACATGCATGATTATATTGGAAATATTCAATTAATACTGTAAATCCCCATACAATCTCAAATCGTTTACTACCAGCTCCATATGCATCCGAAAGCGGTTGGTCCTCTGGTTGTGAATGCTGTCAAAAACACCATAACATGATTAATTATTGAGAAATCCAACTTAAACTCCTGCGCGCCTGGTGGCAGGAATAAGCACTAACCGACGGTGATAAGTCTGTGACAGCCCTTGTTTAATTTCAATGTAATTTCATGCAAATTTCTTGTCAGCATGGATGAACCTTGTACAAAATGCATAAAATTATTTTGTAATGCATTGTTCCTAAATAAAAAGCTACTTCAAGACAGTTGAATTACAGAAAACATGTTAAGGTTTGAAATCATCTGCCGATTAAACAGCAGACAAAGTTGGCCGACTAAATCCATCGACGAAAAACTATTAAATAAGCCGATTGCTCGGTGTAGCACCAGACGAAAAACGATTTAATCTGCTGATTAAAACACCGACTGAAATTAATTTTTAAGAGACAATAGATTTAGTCGGTGGACGATTCGGGTGATTTGGATGATGTTTGTTTATTTGGAAGATATTTTCGAAACGAAGCACGATAAAATTCAGAATTATATACCATTATTACGAGTACTACTTTTTTGCTCGGATCATGTTTTGACTCCCACAGAAACTCGCTAGAATAAATACAAAATAATAGTTTTTTGGTTGAAATTTCAAAAATGTATTCAGCTTGACACATTATTTCGGACTTATCACCGCAGCGATTGCAGCGCCACGGTGGCCGATTGAAACTTGGATTTGTCAATTGTTGATGGAAATTTGATAGGTTCCCGAGCAGAGGGTGAGAACAAAATGAAAACAAGAATTATGTTGTTTTCATTATTCCTGATAACTCAAATTGATTTCATTTTGAAGGAGTTGATGGCTAACAGAACAAAAATGAGAGCTTAAAGATATGCGAAGAATATCAAAATTATAACATATATTGATATTAGTGAGAACTGCTTGATAACTTATTTTGATATAGATTTTTTTTTCTCTAGCATTTTATAAAAATCTGTATAAATCTGTATTGTAATTTAAAAATCTGTGATTAATCTGTATTCTGTATCGGGTCTGTATTAAGATTAAAAAATCTGTATAATACAGATAAATCTGTATAAATGGCAGCGCTGAACATTAGAGCCATTCCCCCTATATATCATTGTACATTAATGGTGGTAAGGTCCAACTCGGTTTAACTTTTAATACCGTCCCTGTTTGGATGATCTGCAAAGTGTTTGCTTAGAGTCGTGTTGAATAACTCTGATGTCGACATCAAAGCAGCCGGACAGTCTTGATCGGGATTTAATCCGAGGATAATACCGGTTGGAGCATACCACCATAACTGATCGTATTGTTGCCGAAATCCGTGATAGTCAGCTCTGAAAAGAAGAAATCATGAACATTTCGGATAAGACAAATACCATTTCACTCCACATATTTTTCATCGTGTTTTTATTTCATGTCCACTTTTTCTATACATTCAATATAAAGATTACCCATCGAATAATTGGTTTTCTCTCCAGTTCTACAGAATACATTTATTTTTCCAAAAAGAAAAATTTTCAATGCAATCGCTACACATCGGTCGTATCTTCCTTCGCCTCTTGCGACGACGTCGGTTTTACCTGCTTTCATAAACCTAAATCAATAGTTCAACTACGCACTACGCAGTTTCAGTTGATAGTTTTTCTCTCATCTTCATTCTTATATTACCTAAGGTAGTTTGCTCTATCGCAAAACACGAATAATCAAATCTAACATCTAGGCAACGATTAGGTTGTGTTTGGAACTTGCTTGCTTTTCTTTATTTATTTTTTTGATTATTTGATTTCTTTCTACCGCTAATAGTAGTGATTAGTTTTAATTTAGCGAAAATAGTATAATAGAAAATAGATGTAATAATTAACTAAACATTCCTCTTCTCATTCTGATTTCAACCTTTTGCGTTCTGCTTTGTAATCAGTTGGTTGTTTTATTACTACATGTACATATTCATTTCTACCCACATTTTATGTTTACTTTAGTTTAGTTTAGTTAACTGGCGTCAGCAATGGTCCGCACGTTTCCATTTGTTCATATGTTCGTGTATGGTTTCTTCTTCCTGTGTAGTATTGCATCGCCCCAGCACTATTTTCTGTTTTAAAATTCCTCCCCCATCTGGAACCATTTCCATTAGTAACTACGTAGTATTTAGCGCTGCCAGTTCGTTTCCGTTTCTTTATGCTTTGCTTGTTGTGAATAAATATCTAAGTAATCGAAATACAGTGTTGTATAAAAAAAAACGGCGAAAAAGTCTAAATCAGTCTTCAAAATTCATTCGAAAGAATTAAAGTAAATATAAACGAAAAGTACGGAATCGGCAAAACAACTCATTTATAACTGTGCCTTCTTGATATCGTTGTTTGTGGTTCCATTTTCTACTCATCTCATATAATGTAAATCAAACTTTAGCACATTTTAGTTTGCTTAGAACCTTATTCCCTTCCTTTCGTTTCCCACTTGCAGCTTTGATTCTTTCTGCTTCTTTAGTTAACAACAAATTTTCGCTTAATCAGTCTTGTTTTCAATAGATAGAGGGGAAAAATGTAATAGTTTGATTTTCTTGCTACACAATCTGCACCTTGCGCTTCCGTTTCTGTTCCTTTCGCAATCTACAACACTAATCAAATATGGCATTCCTTCCAACTAACTGCTAAGCACATTAACACTACACAGATTTTTTTAGTTAATTTTTTGCTAATAGGTTTTCTTCATTTTCTTTTCCACAGCTCTAACTCTAACAACACATCTACCAATTACTTCTTAAAACTACGCTTTCTTGTCCTAAAAAAATATTTGATTTTGCTTTTTGCTTGCTTAACTTTCCAATCGACATATGGCTTCGCAAATTAACAGTTCTTTAGTCGGGAAAGTAAACACAGAAACAGGAGTTTTCATTTTTGTTTTATAGGCACTCGTTGGTGGTGATAGTTCAACAAATTTTTACTTAGATGTGATTGAGGAAAAAAAAAACAAATTAAAGATAGTTTCCACCTAAGATTACAAATAGTTACTAACCGAGAAAAGGGATTGAATGATGGTTTCTAAAGTAATAGTACAGACTTTGACGGTTTGCATGCTTGCGCGTGCCTATGTTTGTTTGTGTGTGTGTTGGCGTTTTTTTTTAAACCTAATGTGTAACAAGGATTTCCGATTTTAGAGATATTTACAATCTTTGCTTGTCAGTGTGTTCCCATTTTTGTTTTGTTTTGCAACCAAACTTAAAAAATGAAACATGTCGAATCTACTGCCTAGTACGGAACTTGATATGATTTCTTCTCTCCGTTTTCTTTTGCTAACGTTTTATAGTACACAAATCTGCTATAATGTAAACGAAAATACTAATAATAGTTAAACAAAAAAGCAAGCAAATAATGCAATAGGTTGAATAATTTACAATATAATCAAAAAGAATGTAAAGCAAAATAAGGGCTTTCCTGCGATGTAAAAAAAAAATAGTTTCGATTTATTGCACCTCGGTTTGTATGATTGGTTCGTAAGGTAGCGCGTCTATGCTGGTCTTCTATTGGATGATTGCAGTATGTTAGTATGTGCGTTGAGTTCACTTAAGCGACACAGTTCTTTGTTCAGTCTATTGATTTGCGTGAATTTGATGATTGTTTTGAGTTGGTTATTGTTATTATTATCGAAAACGTCATAAAACAAAATTGTTAACTTTTCCTGTTATAAATGAGACTATCATTATTGTTTTCTTGCAATCTGAAAAAGTAACTAATTTTGTTATAAGTCATTTTCATATTGTGTTTAGAACATTGGAGATTCTTTCTCTGACTCGGCAATGCATTACACATTGTTCTGAAGAAATGATACACTTCATCTGTTAATGACTTAATAGCTTTAAGGCATTAGAACATTTAAATAAAAATACAGCATATATTAATGTAAACAATAATAGGTGGGATTGCTTTCTCAGGTTATTTCAAGGTAACTTATGTTGCGCGGCTTCGTTTATCGTATTGTTTCGTATATAAAAAAAAACTCAGTCCCTTAACCACTAAAATTCGTACATCCTTGTTTGCTTGAGCTTTTTCAAATGTCTTTTTCTCGTTATTCATGCTATAATCTTGAAATATTAAATAGGAAATAAAGAAAATCGAACATTAACATATAAGTAATAAAGGAAATTAGTATTTACCCGTTTCACAGTACAGAACAAAGCTTCGAGTTCGAGTGTTTTCTGCTGGTAGATTTTGTTTTTGTAAGGAAACACAATAGTACGAAAAGAGAACTATCCGCTCCTCCGAGAAAGAGGTGTGAAGCTTGTGAAACAAACAATAGATGGGAAAGGAGCGGAAAGGGGGGAAGAGGTTGATCCATCGATCAGACCTTCTTACGAAGACGACTCCATGGGGGCGTTGCTATCGGCGATCAGTTCTCGCTTAATGGCATACTCGTCTTTGATCTTGCTCGGTGCCGGAACAATCACGCCCTGTTGCTGTGGAGGCATCAGCGGTGGCGGTGGTGGCGGCGGCGGCTGAGGATGAGACAGGTGATGTTGCGGTGGATGCTGCTGCTGCTGCTGCTGCTGCAAATGACTTGGCAATGGCAGTGTTGGTGGTGAAACCGATCCACGATCCGAGTCCGGCCCACGTCGTGCCATAGACAGATCCTCCACGAGATCATCCGCCCCGCCGCTTACATCCCGAAGATCTTCGTGCTCACTTGGCCTGCGTTCCGGCCTTTCGTAACCTTCGGATCCGTTGCTGTGATGGTGACGATCACCCTCGCTGGGATCACGAGGTCCCTCACGATCCTCCGGAGAGCTCATTGAAACTGAACGCATGTACTTCATCAGGACATTCGGACTAGGTGACCTAGCGGAACCATGCGTACCGGGAGAGGTATTGATTCCATTTACAGCAGCATGAGCCGCTGCAGCAAAAGCCATCGCTTGCAGTGCTTCTCCCCCACGTGCCTCCAGGGCCTGCTGGAGGAACGACGGATCTAGCAAGGCTGCCGCCGGATGGGGAATCGTCGGCGGCAAGTGGTGGCCTGAATGTTCCATTCTTCGCGACTTATCTTCGTCGCCATGTTGCATTTGCGATTGCGATGGCATATGCTGTTCTGCCGGGTGTCCTGGACCGAACATATGGGACGCTCCACTCAATCCGTAGGGGAATGATGCAGGACTGCCACCTGAACTAGGACTTCGCTTGATCGTACGGTTCATCGGTCGACCGGTTGTGATTCCTAACTTTTTCACCTTATCGTACAGAGTGCGCGATGGGACGCCAAACTTACGCGATGCCTGTAGGGCACTCATACCCTTGCGGACGCATTCGATCGCATTCAGGATGTCCGTGCGGGTGTATTGCTTGTATCGTTTCCACTCCGGCTTCTGTTGCTGATGGGGAACGTACGACGCCAGGCGGGCATCGTCGGCACTGTAGTTGAGGCGGGGTTCAAGCATGGCTTCGTCGTCGTACGATTTGTCGGCGTATGGCGACAGCGGCTCTTTTAGGTGCTGTGGAAGGAAAATATAATTAGATTTGGATCTATGACTAAAAGGACCGAGGTTTACCTTGTATCCACCACCGTTGGAGTGATGGCTGCTGACCAGTTCCGAAGGATGATGGTGTCCAGCGACAGACGTGGCTGCAGCAGAAGCTGTGGGAGGTTGTTGAAGTGACATCGTTGAAGGACAAGATTGAGACGAGTCGGCAACATTGGGTTGAGCAAGTACATTCCGTAGGATCGGGGTGTCACGAAGCATGCTGGACATGGACTGGAGTTTCTTGCGTTTGAGCGGGTTCATATCCGAGCTTGAGTCGTAAACTGAGCTGAGCATATTGTGGAGCTGCGGTTGATGCAGGGTAACAGGAATCTGACCCGGCAGTGACCACCGGAGGTTTTGTGACGGATGCGGAGCTGAGGAGGATGACGAAGCGGACGATGTTTGTGGCTGTTCATCTTGGGGAGGTTCATTCTGATGGGAATACGAAGGATGCGGGGGAGGATGGGTGTAGGATGATGATTGTTCGCGACGTTCTCGGTCTTCGAACTCGCGTTCCCGGTCCCGTTCACGGTCGCGTTCACGGTCTCTGTCTCGTTCTATGGCTGTGGGACTGGTGCGAGAGTACAAACTCGTGTATGGCGACTTGTACGTGTACGGTGGAGATGAGCTACTGCTCTGAGCAATGGAAACGTTCGTAGAGGTCGAAATGACCGGAGGTGACTGTTGATTGCTGGACGGTGGCTGAGGTTTGCCACTGTAGTTGTTATTGCTTACATACGGCGGGTCTCGATCTCGCTCATGATCTACGACCATCTTCTCGAACCTTCCTTTTATGTCGGCCATGTCGAACAGTCCTTTGACTTCTAACTGTTCGGCAATCTTCATGATCCTTGGAATCTGTGACTGTGTTACGTTAACCTCTCCAGTGTACATGTACTCCAGGAGAGCTCGCATTTCGAACTCCTGCACCCCAGGAAATAGAATAGTGCAGTGATCCATGGGAACGTCCTGCAAAATGGCTTGGAAATAGGGGGAATTGGCCGCCAGAACGACCCGATGCGCTTTGAACTGGACATGCTCGTCGACGAAGATCGTGCAGTCGACGTAGCACTCCATCTTGATGAGCGCATCCAGGATCTCGACCAGGTTGGACTTGTGGTTGTTCCATCGTAGGCAGTAGGTCTGCGCTTCACTGCTACCCATGGTGGCCAGTGTATTGGATTTTCTTGGCTGGAAAAAAAAGGATAAAATGTAACAGAAGTCATTAGCCACCGGAAGTTGCAAAGGATTTTGCCTACGATAGTCGAGTCACGTCGGCTTGAGCGATGCTCGCTCGCTAATTTTCAAGGTCATCTCACTTGTTTTTGTTTACCGTCGAGGAGTGTAAAGATAACCGCTTCCCATGAAGCCGGTTGTAGCCAGTTAACGTAGACGTGCCGCTTATTGCTCACCGTGTGATTCAGATCACTGCAAATGATGTCAGCAGCGGTGTGCGCAGGAAGAGTGGGAAATTCCGCCACGTGTACTTTGAAAGGTTGTAGTGGCTGGTGACGGACGAACACCAGCCACCACTTCAGACGATGAAGTAGCGAAAAATGTTCTTACAACCCAATCGTGATTACGATCATCGCTCGGAACGGAACGGAACTACACGGTAGAAAAATCATCGCGTGACTAATCAAGCGTGACGAGCTTCTTGGAAGCTAGAATTTTGCAAATTTTATTATTTTGCCTGGTTTCGGGCGCAAAAAAAGGAAGACACGAAACATGGCCACGGTGGCGCTGGAAAAACAGCCGGTAATTACGGCCTGGGAGGTTTGTGCACCCACCAAATGGGGTTAAATGCGCCATCTTTCTTGGGAATTTTTTTTTTCGGGAAACATGGACACACAGATATGTATTGACAAAAATAAGTTGATAGTAGGTCAAGGTTTATTCATGTCTTTATGTTCGAAATTTCCAACCATGATTTTTGTTTTGCTTGGTGAGGCGTGTTTTTTTTTGTCTGGACATTAAACCAGTAAACATGTTACGTTTTTGCACCAAAACATGTTAGTCATAGGTATTCATTGATCTATCGACAATCATTCTCTGACAAGCAAAGGAATTGGTTCTTCCAAAACGGGTTTGAACAGGCAATGACTTTTATCGTGAAGAGTGCCTTTTATCTCCTCTTCCCCAACGGGCTTCCTTACGCCTTTGGCGAATAGGAGTGTGTGTCGGCGCGTTTCCGCTGCCGGTTTATGGTAGCTACCTACATAAATGTGGAATGATTTTTCATTCCATCAGTTTTCCTCTTCTGTGTTTTTTTTTGTGCAGAATTGTTGAATGAAGGCGCAGAAAAAAAAGGAAGTGTAATTGTATGGTTGGATAAGTGATTTGCATAAAATCGGGGGCTATTCCGCGATTAGTGTTATTACTGGAAGTAAGCTTAACGTTAACTTTGGATTTGTTGGTTGAAAGTTTTCCGAAAAATTTCATAACAAATTCCGATCGCAAGCCGTTTAATGCTGCTCTTTTCTGGTATATAATAAGTTAATTAACGCCAATCAGCCTGCGCTAATCAGTGGATCAAAATTTATGACACACATGTGCTCCTTTCCAGGCGTCGCCAGGGGTTGAATGGATTGCACAATTCGGATAGGGAAGCGGGTGGCCAATTACAGGCCTCGTAGCTCAAACACAACTCACACGCACACACGGGTCGTCGAATTCGGAAACACAATAGATCGAATGGTGAGAGATGCAATAAAATATGTCATGTCGACTGGCGGAAATGAGGGTTAGCAGTGCCCAAGAGCTCCCTTTTGCTCTCCGGTTTCTGGTTGGGTAAAGCGATTGTAAACCCGCTGCTTGTGGGTTAATTTGTCGGCTATGATGAACTTACTTTCTCTGCTATGCTAGAGACGAAAATAAGGGACTCGGCAAGGGTCAAAGTACTTTCGACTTTTTTGTTAGTGAGCAATGCATTTCGCACCCTCATTGGAAGCGAAAAACGCACATTTTCATTCCCGGAAGCTCGAAAACTGAACAATCATTTTTTGTTGTTTTATTTATCAAAACTTCGAGGGTCAAATCAGTCAGCTGCACTGAGCGGTTGCTTAGAAAGAAGGTTATTTAACCGCAAAATTTTCGCTCGCTTCTGGTTTGTTATCAAATGTGTGGTTTTGAAACGAAAATGAAAATCAATCAGCGATCTTGTGAAAAAGAACAAACCCATTTAAAAAGTAAAATAGGATTAACATTATCTGAGTAGGTGGTAGCTGCACTAGGGTTGTCGTTTCCCACGCTATTATTGTCGTTCGCCTAAAATTGCAAATCAAATGGTCCTTCGCAGGGACAAAAGAGTGTTTGTGGCAAAAAGTGGGATAAATAAACTATCATCACCTATTGTCATCCGGCACTGTGTCATTATGTGCGGATTTGTGTGCTAAATATTACACATTGGGGTGTAGGCCTGCCAAGAGATAGAGACGTGCAAACAGAAAAAAGGTTGATCAAGTAAAAGGGATGTGGCGCGATTGCATCGAGGTGCATAAAAATGCAAGATTATGCAAATTTTGCCCTCGAAATGGGAATGGAAAGTGATTTTAAAAAGGGATGCATAGTTATGCAGATTTTTTCCCCTGTCTGTGCTGGGATGGCAAATGTGGAGGAATCCTTCAGGAGGATAACAGTCCTAAAGAGGTACTGTGGGAATTTTGTCTTTGGTTGCGAGTGGAAAGTAGAGATAGATATCATTGTGCAATAGAAATCATAAAGCATGGGAAATGGGAATGTTTTCTATCGATCTAAAGTCGATCTGAAGAAAGTTCACTTACTTTAGCTGAACAGAGAATTCATACCGCTGTCAACGAATTGCCCACCCGAACAATTTGGCTGAAGACAACAGATTTCTATCTTTTCTAGGATATTGACACACATATAATAGCTTAGAAATTCATCACCTGATGAGAGTGTTTCTGGCTACTATAAACTGCCGTTCAGTCTAACTCAGTGACTGACTAAAATTATATTGCCATCTCTTTTTTTTCACGGAAATATTGATTAATTAACATACAAAATGGAGTTACCACCCGAGCAGGAACGAATATCCCGTTATCTTAAGTTGGTATGGATTAGCCTGCCATAAGAGGTAAAATACCAAAACATAGTACCAAAAAAAAAAGGCTCCCACAATACCATTTCAATACCAAATTGAGTAAATGCAATACCAAAACTATACCACATAAGGTATTCTTTTGGTATAAAAATATCAAATTTTATTAATTACAAAGCATTTTACACGCAATTTTTTGGTATTTTTTTTTTTTTTTTTTACTGATCAACACCAAACTTTGGTTTCAGGTCAGAATTAGGTAGGGGAAACGCTCCTATAGTTGCGGTACGTTAGAAGCGTTAGGTTCCTATAGTTGTGTATGGAGTCTCCATACACAACTATAGGAACCTAACGCTTCTAACGTATCGCAACTATAGGAGCGTTTACCCTATGCATTAGTTATTTCTTCTGCTCGGGCACTGCGTTATTTGGTGGATTCCTGTTTGTAAATTCCTATAGCATGAGTTTAGCTGATCTAATACTGATATTATTAGCAAAGTGCAATTACAATAATTACAATCCTTAAGTAGGGTCTCTACTACGTGGAAAAACCTGAAATCTTCAGAGAATTTTTTGTTACAAGGAAAAACCCGGAATTGTCAGAGAATTTTCAAATTCCTTTATCAAACACATTTTTAAGAATAAAATTTATTGAAGTACGATAGCGAAACTTCTCAGGACTTTTAAAATATTTTATATAACAACCAACTTTATCTTCCTCGTTAGTAACTTTTACTATTTGAATATAATAATTCTGTGCGGATTTATGTTCAGTAATAACATAAATTCTTAGGCTTGAGTTGTGTGCTTTTTTTAAGGACTGGAACACGGAAAATTTCTACAGATTTTAAACTTAGACTATTTTTTTTGAAATCTTGGATCTAATAATATCAAACTTGGAGAAATTTTCGGGAATCTGGATCGAAAATAAATAACCTACGGACATAGAATAAATGCCAAGAACCAGTGTTGTGAAAATATCAAAAGATCTAATCTCACCAATGTGCATAATCTTATTTGAGTATCGTAGACCAAAAACTCAACACGCAAACAACAGTCGATCATATTACAAGCTGTGATAGGGTTGCTATGATATCATGGTAACAAAACACCCAGGCTACAATTCTCACCAAACTGTGTTGAGATTGAGCTTCAAGATTTTTGCTGTACATCCGAACAAAAAACGAAACTTCCATCACTGCTGGCAGCAGTAACTTCGTGTCTGCCATCTGTGAAGCGTAAAGAAAGATAGCAAACTATGCTTTCTCTTTCTAAGAAAACGATGTGCAAAGGAATCATTTTTGTGGTAAGTCAACTCGTGGCTGCAATTTTACATGTTCTGAATAGTCTCGCAATATCAAAAGAGCTTGTAAAAACAATATCATGCTTGATATTTTATTCCAATATCATGCGTGATATTGGGAGCCCTTGAGAGCGAAACAAAATCATTTGAGTGAGGATTATGCCATCACTGCCAAGAACTTTCTTCTTCCTCGCATTTCAAGCTTTTTGCTTATCGTATATTAGCTTATTGCATGCCCTCAACTTAGTGTTCTAGATGCACATCCACTGTAATTAATTGACAGCTTTTGATGCCTGTACCATATTTGTATTAGTACAATTATGTGGCAAGTACAATCATACTCTATGCCCAGGGAAGTTGAACCCGAATAATTCCTAGACCGGACCGGAAATCCAACCCACTCACCTCCATCATGGTCTTGCTTTGTAGCTGCGCCTTTACCGACTGAGTTAAGGGAGACCCCAAAATGCCAAGAACCCAAATACACTCAGCTCTTTTTTTGCACGGGATATATACTGCCGTTATACGCATAACTGTCCCATGTTCTATGCAACCCTTATGCACCGTGGGACTCTTATGCGTATAACGGCATTATAGTATGTACCTTGTAAAAAAACCTAGCAAGATTTTGATTTTTCTCATGCTAAAATATTATCAAAAAATTGGATTTTAATGCCATTTGTAATCATAGCGTGCTATGGTCTCTATAGATTTTTTTAAATTAAATTAAATTAAACCAAAAAATTTAGATTTTGTTATTCGATTACCTATGATTTGAAACGAAAAATGTGATTCGAATGAAGCCGATAGGTTGTATCGTTATCGAGA